CAAAATGTGCCAAATAGAAAAACAAAAGTGTTATTCCTTTTAATTCTTCCCATTTAACACCAAAATTAGAAACACATTCTTAAAACAAAAGTCCAATGCCAAAGTAAAATAAACCAGTTGTATACGCTAGAGAAATTAGAAAATCTTAGTTAAAAAAAAGAAGTACATGAAAAGGATTTCACAAAAATGTATTGAAATAAATACGACTATTTTTCAAAAGTGCCATTTTGGCACTTTATGCCTAATTGAAAAATTTAGTGCCATATGAAATAAAATAGGGCCAAAAATGGCACGGTTTGAACCGAGTTGTCAGCCCTGCCCGGCACTCTGGTAAAAGAGCTGATTAGCTCATGCGACGATGTTGACAGGTTATCTGGTTAAAAATTATTATTGTGGAGTGTATTTTGTTGTTGTAAACTGAATAAAAATATAACTACATAACCATATAACCTGATAACCAGGAAAGCATGAAAAAACAATGTAACAGTACATGCGACACCTCTAACCATTGTGTGTTTTATACTTAAGTTAGAGCTGAAAATTTTTTATCATCCCCCTTTTCCTAAATCCTGGCTACATCACTGGCTGAAATATGTCCATCTCTAATTGACACTCACCATCCATTTGTCGACTTCAAAGCCGCTTTCGACAGCACGAAAAAAGTTGCTTCTATGTCGCGATGTCTGGATTTATTATTACCGTGACACTAATACGTTCAGCAATACCACCAGCTCCGTCAAAACTGGGAAGTACCTGTCCAGTCTCATAATAATATTACGTTCAAATTGGACCCATTTAACTTGTTAAATGAAAAAGAGCTTTTTGGAAAACACAATCGTCCACATTGAACATTTCGAGTTAACTTTGACGGTTGTTTGATAACACGCGAAATCAATCTTTGGAAATTGCATTCGTACTATCATCAGTTATGTAACCTGATAATGGAAATCGCTGCATATTTTTTGCGCACCATAGTTACATCACAAGCTAATAAAAGCGAGATAAAAAGGAAGTATTGAAGAGTCGTTCTTTCGCCTGCAGTATTGGTTTAAAAGTAGTTTATTCCCAACTACTTTTTCAATTTGCTGATTTTAGAGACAGTTTTTTTTTTATTCCGACAAGGTTTAGTAGTCGAGTAGATAGAGGTGTGCACTGCCACCTGGCAGGACACAGGTTTAATAACTGGTCGGAGCAACATCCAAATAATTTTTTTCTTTATTAGCAGCAGCTCCTCGGCAGGCAATAGTAAACCTCCCAGTGTTTTTCGGTCATGAAAAAGCTTCTCCTCCCGATGTGTGGCAGTGTCAAGGCGCACATCACAAATTGAAGGAGCAGGTGCGCCAAATACTAAGCAAATGTATGAACTGTCAATGTACATACTTATGTATATATGAATTGGTACATTAGTTTTGGTCTACTTACCTCAATGTACAGTTTACGTAAACACTAATAAATAATAAGCATGTAGATAATAACTAAAATTTTTGCTTTCAATTCTCAATGCTATATAAATAGTAAAGCTAATTGATTTTTCCCAGATTTGTTCAATAATTTGCAATTTTCAAAGTCAAAGTTGTTAGCAAACGCCAGTCAGGCAATCTTTTCTCAGGCAGTGCAACTCCCAACATCTAAACTGCATATGCCTGTGTTTTAATAAAAATATTTTTGTAGAGTTCAGTGTGAATGACTGCGAGCATTTCCAAAGGCCATAAATATCGGTCCTTGTATTGGTGCTACGTATAGATATGGATATAGAAAGCTATGAAGGAGAGATGAAAATTGTAGGTACTGAAGGAACTTTGTTCATCTCAACGAAACTGGCCTATGTTGTTCTTGCTTCACGCCTACATCTCTGAAAAAAATGCAAAAATTGCTATATTTTAGTAACTACTTGAGCTAAATTGCTCAAAAATTTGAGATTAGAACACCTATTCTTACAAAACTCGTCGCCAAAGCTATCAATTGATAAAAGTTTGACTAAGTTGGAGATGGCCATTTATATTATCAAATATTGCCGTCCACCAAGTACATTTTTAGGGGAATTTGAAACCGTATTCCTGAAGCTGAGTATATAGGGTGTCCTAGACCACCTGTCCAGCCCTTATGAAATGGAGACAATTTTTGTTATTGGAAGCCGCACGAATATGAGCTCCCTAGTCGGGGATCTATGCGGGAAAAAATACATAACTCTTAACCGAAACTTTTTTGTAGAATGGACTTTCGGTCTGTTTAAACCACTTTCGATCGAAACCCGAAGTTAGTAATACTACTAAAAATAGAGCATACCCGACTTGGTGGTTTATATTTTTTCGTTTATCAATAAAAATATTTTCGTCCATTTTAGAAGTTCAGGACAAGTTGAAGTTCGAAAGTCATTCAGAGATTTAAAAAGACTTATCCGATAAAAAAGTTTAAAAAAAGGTGTGTAATTTTACATACATATGTATGTGCAGAATCCGAATCTATGGTACATAAAAACATGTATATATATCCCATTAAAAAAAATGGACTTCCGGTCGGTCGGTTTAACACACTTCCGTTCAAAACCCGAAGTCGGTTATACGTACATATGTACACATATATGCACTGTATAAAACAAAAATTAATATTATATAAAATCGGCAGACTGTCAAACTTATTGCAGAAATTAAACACGCATACTTTTTTAAAACATCTAATGACTTTTAAGAAGTGTTGCACAGTAGGCGATTTTTGTATTTTTTCTTCAAATAAGCATGAATTTCTTATGAAATAAAATGCGGGAGACCGTTAGCAACAAACTTTCAAAAAATCAACGCCAGTGAACTACATATATTTTCATAAATAAATAAGGATAACTAAGCCAAAAAATGGTTCGTGAAAATAATTGTGAATATAATATTAGAACAAGGTGTACACTTCCATTTGTCGCCTAGTGTATGTACGTAGTCTGAAATCATAGGAAGTATTAATATGGCCGGAACTAGATAATACACGTGAACTTTTCCGCTTCCCGTTAAGGTAAAGCCAACAGCCGGATTATTTAGTTGTGTGCTATGTAATTGTTTTATGCCATGCAATAGCTCAAAACTGTGATAACAAATTAACATATTTTATTGAAAGTGCATGCCTTTTTTGCCAGTAAATATTAATTCATATGTATGTACAGTGCCGGTCATATCATTAGCAACACCATTTAAAAGTGATATTGTTTGCCTTTTATGTTTATTACAAAACCCATGTAAGCCCAAGATGAAAACTTTGTAGAAAACTAAAAAAATTCAACAAATTTCCAAATTTCAAACTTTTTTTTCAGAATATGCAGTTTTGTAGGTCATTCAATTTTAGTGTAATAATGCGCAAGTTTCAAGTGGCTAAATACTACCGTTGATTTTTTTTAAAAGGTTTTGTGGTTTTCTTCCATATGAAATAATATGGAAGCAAGTAAAAAAAAAAATCAACGGTAATTTTTAGCCACTTGAATAGGATATAAAACTGTATTCTCAGAAATATTCTAACATTTCTGCGAAAAAAGTTTGAAATTTGATGAACATTTTTTGATTTTTTTTAGTTTTCAATAAAGTTTTAAAGCGTTTTAAAAGAGAAGATAGTAAGTAATCTTAAGTGGCAAACAACATCACTTTGAAGCTGGGGTGCCATTGATATGACCGATACTGTACATACAATTGTAAAGTAAACATGGAGAGAGTAAACATAAAGAGATCAAAAATATAGATACTTCTTTTATAGTATTTTTTTCACGAGACATGCGAAAAAAGTTGTGCTTTACATACATACATTTATTTAAATTAATTTTTTAAATCACTTCAACTCATATTGATCTTTTGCAATTTACACAAAACTAGTTCATTTATCTTTACTGTTTACCCAAGTCGCGCTTAAACCTTTCGACCTTGAATCAATATACCTTAAATTATGGTTTTCGTTTTGCAATCGTAACTCAAGTGTTATTCCGGCCTTGTACTGATCGTCTTGAAGATCCGAATGACACTGGAGCCGCGATGTCCAAGCGCTGAGATTGAAGTATGGTTTTCGCTCCAAAGAAGTGCGACTTGAAGCTTTTTTCAGAAGTCGTATATACATATGTATGTATGTGTGAATATGTGAATGTAACTGCAGTAGAATCCGTTTATAACGACTCCGCATGTAACGACCGGCCGCTGTTAGCGACGTAAACACAACCTCAAATTGTAGTTTAGCAACGTAATTTATGAATAAATTGTCCGGTTAGAACGATAAAAGTTTTAAAAATTAGAAGCGTCGCACAACATGTTATGCAGCAACTGAACATCGAAGGCGCATATCTCTGGTCTGGTCTGGTCTGGATAACGTTAAGTTCACAGCGACATTTGTCTTTTTCATTCGATTTTTTTTCGACAAACGTCAATTTTGGATTCACTTGATATAAACTATTGCA